GAATACCTTTAAATATTTTTGGATGTTTTCTACATCTTCAAATATATTGTTTTCAGTTACAAAACACAATAAAAAGTGTACAGTGCTTACTTTACATTTATTTTTTATTACAAATATTTGCACTATAAAAAACAAAAGAAATAGTATTTTTCAATTCACCTATATAAGTCCCCTGGAATGGTGGCTGAAGCATGAAGGGGCATACGAATGTTTAGCACAGGGGTAGGCAACCTTTCAGAAGTGGGGTGCCGAGTCTTCATTTATTCACTTTAATTTAAGGTTTCGCGTGCCAATAATATATATATATAATATATAACTAAACTATTGTTGTATGTAAAGTAAATAAGGTTTTCAAAATGTTTAAGAAGCTTCATTTAAAATTAAATTAAAATGCTGATCTTACGCTGCCAGCCTGCTCAGCTCGCTGTCAGTCTGGGGTTCTGTTCACCTGGGCCGGCAGCGGGCTGAGCAGGGCCTGCGGCTGGGACGCCGGCTGGAAAGGGGCCGGCAGTCGGGACCCCCAGACCTGGGGGGGGGAGTTCAGGGGTCAGGGCAGAAGGCTGGGTGTGTGGGGGGGGAGTTCAGGGGTCAGGGCAGAGGGCTGGGGGTGTGTGGAGGTGCAGGGCAGAGGGCTGGGGTGCTCAGCTGATGGGGATGCTCCCAGCTCCCTGCCCTGAGCGGCTCATGGCAGGGAGCTGGAAGGGATATGCCCTGTTACACCCCCTTCCCCAAGGCCCCGACCCTACCTCTTCTCTGCCTCCTCTACGGAACAGCGAGCACGCTGCCACTCCTTCCCCTCCCCCTTGCAAGGGCCACCAGCTGATCGGCACAGGGAAGGAGAGAAGATGGGGCAAGAAAGCACCACGCTGGGGGAAGAAGCGGGGGTGGGTGGAAGCTTGCCTGCCGCAGGACCAAGCTTCTGCCTCCTGCCCCTGCAGGGGAGAGCGGGGCGGGGCTGAGTGGGGCTGGGGGCTGGGACCGCGGCAGGCAGCAGTGTGCCACTCAAAATCGGCTTGCGTGCCATGTTTGGAACACGTGCCGTAGGTTGCCGACCCCTGGTTTAGCATATCTGGCACGTAAATATCTCGTAATGCTTGCTACAAAAGTGCCATGTAAATGCCTGTTCTCACTTTCTCATGACATTGTAAATAAGAAGCAGGCAGCATTATCTCCTGTAAATGTAAACAAACTTCTTTGTCTTAGTGATTGGCTGAACAAGAAGTAGGACCGAGTGGACTTGCAGGCGCTAAAGTTTTACATTGTTTTGTTTTTGAGTGCAGTATGTAACAAAAAAAACCCCTACATTTGTAAGTTGCACTTGCACAATAGATTGCACTACAGCACTTGTATGAGGTGAACTGAAGAATACTATTTTTGTTTATCATCAATATTTGTAATCAAAAATAATACAAAGTGAGCACTGTACACTTTGTATTCTGTATTGTAATTTATATCAATATATTTGAAAAAGTAGAAAAACATCCAAAATATTTAATAAATTCGAATTAGTATTCTATTGTTTAACTGTGTGATTAAAACTGCAATTAATCACTATTAATTTTTTTAATCGCAATTAATTTTTTGAGTTAATCGTGTGAGTTAACTGAGATTAATCGACAACCCTAGTTATTTTATTTTCTATAATATCCTCTCATATCTGTTTGTAGTGTATTCTTTGTAAGCCAAATCAGTGTTCACTTCCATTGGGACTCAGATGATAATACACCTCTCAAGACCTGGAAATATATTTGTAAGCCAATGTAACAGTACAGAGAGAATGTTGTGTTAGTAAATACATATCCATATAGCAAATGAATACAACTTTTTGAACTATATATTCTACACTAACTTTTTATTTCTCTCTACTCTTAGTTCAAATGTCAGCATAAACCAATCTAATTATAAAAGTTAACCACAATTATAAATGTAAAGCTTTAAGGAAAGTCAGCTGTGCCATGAACATGTATACTTATTTGTATTACACACACTGTTCTAAATTGGCATCATCTGTTAGGGATAACCAGATGTAATTTACCTTTGGCTCTGCATTCATGAAGGTAATTTAAATTAAATTAATGTTATATGCAGGGGAGGATAATTTGTTCAGTCTTCTGCTGTTGGAAATCCAATGTAATTTTTGTTAAAATAATTTTTTAGCATACATTTGGAAGATCTTACAGATGTTCAAAGTAAGTTTTTGATACTGCATTTTTCAGTTTGCCAGAGATTGATTTTTTTTCTCCCTGTGATCTAAAACAATCTTTAGCTAATAACGATTTTTAATTCAATAACTTTTTTGACAAAGCATCAGCACTATTAACTGTGCAAGTTCTAGGAATGGGGTTTGTTAGTGCTGCTGCAACAAAAAGAGGCTTCTCTAAGTACTATACCAGACATGTTTTATATCACAAAACATTACCATTGTCCTCTCTGTCTTCTTGACACCAGAAGAGATTTTAAGGCAATAATTAGATGATATTTAAAAATCTGATGCCTTTCCCCACTATTATTAGGTGTTTGGTTTTTCTTGTTGCACCCATAATGGAAGTGATTGTCCTGTGTTTGAGGCACAGAGGCATCTTGTGTGTGATCTGATTCAAGTCATTCTGTGTCTCCCATCTATATAAAGTGGGGAAATAGGAGTCCCATGTATTCTTTAATGCCACGAAATTCACATTTCCTACAAAGCTTTTACCCCAGAATCTCACCTTTACGTTTAAAAAAAAAAATCTTTCTAGCCCTCATGGTTGCAAAGAAAACCCTGAAAATATGAACGGACACAGGTATGGCTACACTACAAGCACGTCAGCAGCACAGCTCCAGCTATACCATTGTAGCCTAGACCCTTACTAGAGCAACAGAATGGGGTTTTCTGTCACTGCAGTAAATTCACCAAGAAGCAGGAGTGAAATCAGGAAGGCCAAATCACACTTGGAGTTGCAGTTAGCAAGAGATGTTAAGAG